CCCTAATTACTCAAGCTTCCTAATATCCACCCTCTCAAATCTCCACACTCCCAAATTTCTAACCCCCTAATTACTCAAATTTCCTAATACTTCCTTTCTCAAATTTCCACACCCCCAAATTGTTAAACCCCTAATTACTCAAGCTTCCAAATATCCACCCTCTCAAATCTCCACACTTCCAAATTTCTAATCCCCTAATTACTCAAATTTCCTAATACTTCCCTTCTCAAACTTCCACACCCCCAAATTGCTAAACCCCTAATTACTCAAGCTTCCAAATATCCACCCTCTCAAATCTCCACACTCCCAAATTTCTAAGTCCCTAATTACTCAAATTTCCAAATACCTACCTCCCCAAATCTGCACACCCCAAATTTTCCACTCCCTAATCTCTCAAATTTCCAAATTCCTCCATCTTCAAATCTACCTCCCCAAATATCCACGCTCTAATTGTCCACCTCCCCAAATATCCACCCTCTAACTATCCACCTTCCCAAATCCCCATACCCTTAAATCCCCAATTTGCAAACCCCAAATCCCAAAAATATAATCTCTAAATTCCAAAAAGTAACGTCTAAAATGCAACGATCTTCCGTGACAAATAACAAAGGTGGTTTCATAAAAAGCAAGTGTTATGTCCAACGATACGTTAAGACGAACGTACGGTTATCTGGTCGTGGAGTGTCTGCGTCCTTCGCTTTGTGGCCATTCAAGATCGAAAGCTTTATCGTCCGTGGCGCTGAGGTTCCACGGGGTTGAAAAAAAAATAAAAAGGAAAAGGGTGAAAGGCAACGCCCTCCGTCCTTGGTGCAGGAACATCGATAAATGTTCTCGGACGGGTCTCTCTTCAAATAAAACACGAAACTGGGTTGGTCATTAGAGACTTTCAGTTAGCTTGTTTCCTCATTAACTTTTGCGCTCGATTCGAAGAAATCAACGGGCCACTGTCAATTTATAATTCATGAAGTTTAATTCTTGACGAAATAGTTACACAGATTATAAACTGATACTTATAGTTTTTATAATACTGTAGTTTCTATAAGATTATGAAGACTATATTCTTTTTGATGAGGATTTAAGCTGTATCGCATGAAATAATTAATCATTCGCTACGTTTCAAAGGAGGCATTCAAAGGTTTTGAAAGCCGCCTGAAATAAATAGTCCAGCGCGTTTAATTGATATTCATGAACGGCAACTAATGAATGCTAATTAATTTCGCGGGAATTTGCTTGAAGGCGCCTATGGTTATCGATTATGTTAAATATCCACGTGCGTGCGTGCAAAGCGAAACGTTATCAGTGGAAAGCCAATTAATTAACAAGAAACTTGATAATGAAGTGTTTATGCTTTCGATGTGCTCAAAGATATTCGATACAAGTATTTAGTGTGACACTGTTTTCAAATCATCATTCTAAGGTTTCAAAATTCTAAAGTCCCATACTAGCAATTCCTCAAGTTTGCAATTTCGAAAATTTATAGTCTCAAGTTTGCAATTCCATAATTCTAAACTCCAAGCTTGGAATTCCATGACTTGCAATTCCAAACTTCTAAAGTTCCGAGGTTGCAATTCCAAAATTTGTAATTCCACGATTTTCAATTCCAAAATTCCGAAGTCCCAAGGTTGCAATTCCAAAATTTGCAATTCCACGGTTTGAAATGCTAAAATTTGCAATTCCACGATTCCCAATTCCAAAATTCTAAAGTTCCAAGCTTGCAATTCTAAAATTTACAATTCCACGATTCCCAATTCCAAAATTCTAAAGTTCCAATGTTGCAATTCCAAAATTTGCAATTCCACGGTTTGAAATGCCAAAATTTGCAATTCCACGACTCCCAGTTCCAACATTCTAAAGTTCCAAGCTTGCAATTCCAAACTTCGCAATCCCACGATTTTCAATTCCAAACTTCTAAAGTTCCAAGGTTGCAATTCCAAAATTTGCAATTCCACGATTCCCAATTCCAACATTCTAAAGTTCCAAGCTTGCAATTCCAAACTTTGCAATACCACGATTTTCAATTCCAAATTTCTAAAGTTCCAAGTTTGCAATTCCACGATACCCAATTCCAAAACTCTGAAGCCCCAAGTATCCAATTTCAAAATTCTAAACTCCCAAGTTTGCAAATCCAAAATTCTAAGATCCCAAGCTTGCAAATCAAAATTTTCAATTCCAAAATTCTACTACTGCCAAGTTTGCAATTCCAACATTCTAAAATCCCAAGGTTGCAGTTCCAAAATTTGCAATTCCAAAATTCTAAACTCGAACGTTTGCAATTCCAAAATTCTAAACCCTGAAGTTTGCAATTCCAAAATTCAAAAGTTCCAAATTGGCAATTCCAAATTTCTGAAGTCCAAATTTGGCAATTCCAATATTCTGAGGTCCCTAATTTACAAAGTATCAGATTTCCAAAATTTCTGACTTGCAATTCCAAAATTCTAAAGTGTCAAAACCCCAAGAACTGAATCTTGGAAGCCCCAATTCCATTACCTGAACGCTCAATTTACCCGTCCGTCGAGTCTCCCATATATCAACCGCTAATTGCCTGTTCTGCAATTTAATTGCCTATATCTCGATTCCGCGAATAAAAAAATTTCAATTTAAATATAAAAGAGGGATCAAGTCGGCGCACAACAGCATTACGCGCGTGCACGATTCGTTTAACAAACGTATTTACCAACGAGAGGGTTAATTGCTTTTAAATCGGAACTTGCTTCTCCCCGTGACTGCGTTTCTCTTACCATATTGCAACTTTCTCGAGCGATATTACAACGTTCCGCGCTTTTGATCAACAGGTATGCCAGCAGAGAGAAACATCGAACCAATTATAGCAATTACTTCGTTAACGAGCACCTGAATCTTCGTAAAATTTCATTCCGACATCGCGAAGCCATCGTCGACGTACAAAATCTTCGACGTAATCTTTCGTCAAATGCAATTTCGAGATGTAATCTCTTTAGTATTCCTGACCGAAAAGCAATCTCGATCGGAAAGTTCTGCGAGACGAATCGAAACGGTCAGATTGCACTTCGTTCGTAAACTGTTCTATCTTCATAGTGGCTGGATTACGCGTTAACAAGATTTAGATCACCGCATAATCCGTATACAATAGGCGTTGATCTGATGTGGTCTGGCTATATAGTCCGAGCAAACTGTTCAGCATTGCTGATTACACGACGGCCATTGTTATTATCGAGTTAATACGCGTTCGCGTTTTGGAAACCCGTGCTTAGTTATGGTAATTGGTGCTTTAAACTGCAAATCAATTTAAAATTGTACTGATTATATGAATAAACTTTATGTGTCCGTAAAAATTTATGGTTCGATCCCATTAGTTTGTACTTCAAATTTCTGCTTAATTCCCAGAGCAGGTGCAAATTGAATCGATGAGATTCGACACCTTCAATCTCCGCCATTTGAAATTCTATATCGACCTCTTGAGCTTCCATGTAAATGGTAATGGAAACTTGATATAAATCTATCGAACAATCGTAAAACTCCGCATGAATTATCCTATCTGAATGATCACTATTCCAAATATCCGAAAATGGAATCACTGAAACATAGTTCCAAAGATTCTGAAGCTCTCCCAGCGCAGATTCTGCACCGTTCAGTGTTGATTCTGAAGATTTCCAGAAGCTGGAAATGAGCGTAATTAGGTCTCAGGGGTGCAGGATCGTCGGCAGGTTCGATAGGTCAGCGTTATCGATATGCTCTCCCATGGGGCCAAAATCCACCTAGAGTTCATAATTATCCGTATCTGCTCCCTCGAGTTATTAATATTTAACAAAGATCAATTCTCGTCTAGGATGATCCCCTCTAATCCAAATCATATTGAATTCAGAACTCAAGAAATATATAATGCAAATAAGATAAATATTGGGAGGTTAAATGAGACTGTTACAACTATTGCAACGGGTGTTGCTTTGAGAGAAAGCGGTGTGTGAGAATTACAACGCGTGGTATTACAGCACGTGGGATTGCGACGCGTGGAGTTACAACGCATGGAATAGCGGCGCGTGGAATTACAACGCATGGGGTTGCAGCGCATGAGATAGCGGCGCGTGGAATTACATCATGTGGGATTACGACGCGTGAGATAGCGGCGCGTGGAATTACAATGCGTGAGATAGCGGCGCGTAGAATTACAATACGTGGAATTCCAGCGCGTGGGATTACAGCGCGTGGAATTACAACGCATGGGATTACGACGCGTGAGATAGCGGCGCGTGGAATTACAATGCGTGAGATAGCGACGTGTGGAATTCCAGCGCGTGAGATTGCGGCGCGTGGAATTCTGGCGCGTGGAATTACAACGCATGGAATTCCAGCGCGTGGAAATACAACGCGTGGACTTCCAGCGCGTGGAATTACAGTGCGTGGAACTCCAGCGCTTGGAATTACAACGCGTGGAATTCCAACACGTGACATTACGGCGCGTGGAATTACGGCGCGTAGAATTACAACGCATGGAATTCCAGCGCGTGGAAATACAACGCGTGGACTTGCAGCGCGTGGAATTACAGTGCGTAGACCTCCAGCGCTTGGAATTACAACGCGTGGAATTCCAACACGTGACATTACGGCGCGTGGAATTACGACACCCTCAAAGACGCCCTGAACTGCATCTCATCGAATTACAACGTCTCAAATTATGCCCGTTACACCTCGGTATCAACAAGAGCTAAATATAAATTGGAACGTAATAAGCTTCAGGAACAGATCCCGGGATGACGATTAAATTAAATTAAGTACCATCGATCCGGTTGCCCAATAAACGGCTCGCTGTTTCCAAATAGGTTACCATAAATAATCAACTTACTCGTATTTACCGGCGGATATGCTCCGTTGTTGATCATCCGCTCGAATTTTCACCCAAGTCCGAGCTGAAATTTCACGATTATTACGAATTAAACTCGTGTTGTGTTTATTTGTTCTAATTACGTTACCGATTAATTGGGTGTAATCAAACCACTTGTTTTGACTCATGTTTTATTCTACAGGACATCGATTATGATGGATTCCGCAAGTTTCTGGATACCTATCTGGAGGTTGCGACACCTGACGAACTGTCCAGACATCTGTTTCTTTCGTTTGTTAAGAGGGTACCGCGTGGGGTCGATGGAAAGGCTTTTAAGGTATTGTATACTGTTTTATTAAGGATTCTTTATTAATAGTTCAGTTTGGGGAGGATCTGGGAAATCTATAATAATTATATTTTCAAATTTTCAAATTGTTAAATTCCCATATTTTTAAGTGTGCAAATACTGAATCTGCAAATTCACACATGCCTAGATTCTCACATGTCTAAATTCTCACATCCCTAAACTTTGAAGTCTCCAAATTCTTACATCCCCAAATTCTCACATCCCCAATTTCACTCATCCCAAAAATTCCCACATCCCCAAATCCTCACATCTCCAAATTCTCACATCTTCAAATCCTCACATCCCCAAATCCTCACATCCCCAAATTCCCACATCCCCAAATTCTTAAATCCCCAAATCCTCACATCTCCAAATCCTCACATCCCAAAATCCTCACATCCCCAAATCCCCACATCCCCAAATTCTCACGTGCCCAAACTCTGAAGTCTCCAAATTCTCACATCCCCAAATTCACTCATCCCCAAATTCCCAGTTCCCCAAATCCTCACATTTCCAAATCCTCACATTCCAAAATCCTCACATCCCCAAATTCTCACATCCCCAAACTCTGAAGTCTCCAAATTCTCACATGCCTAAACTCACTCATCCCCAAATTCCCACATCCCCAAATTCTCAAATCTCCAAATTCCCACATCCCCAAATCCTCACATCTTCAAATTCCCACATCCCCAAATCCTCACCTCTCCAAAAATCTCAAATTTCCAACACCAAAATAAACCCAACACAATTTCCCCCTTAGGAAATGGCAGTATTATCATCAACAACCGCCTGCGCAGCGATCACATCGCACACAACATCCAGCAGCAACGTGAACAGCACAGGTCTGCCAGGTGGCACATCGACGGAGAGTCACGGTGGATCATCGTTGGCCGATAAAATTCACGGTCTGACAGAGAAGTTGCAAGCGTTGGGACACCATAGAACGGAAAGCGAGGCCTCCACCAGGGCTCGTACCGGTACGTTCAGATTGCACCTTGAACTGTGACCTTTGATTTTCGTAACGCGTTCACTGGCACGTTACCCACATGAATTATTTAATTGGTGTATTTTTAATTTCGAGTGTAAAGAAGCCATTATCGCTTTATTTCTCGTGGCTGTTTAATCCTTGAAACGTCGACGGAGGAGGGCTTCATTTAGAACGCCCTTCGGCGATAAATTTAGGTCTTTGATAAAGGTATTTACAGTGTAAACGCAATATGCATGCATGTGAACATGCAGAATCATCTTTTCACGAGCACTGGATTTGCAGCAATATTATGCAATATTAACTTCCGCTCTTGTTGAAAGGGGTTAATGCGACCGAAATGGTAGCAGATGCATATACGTCACGTATCATCCAAGAATACGTAGATCCCAGTTTCTCCGACAGAATTCGAATAATTAACAAAAAAGATTGACAATGATATACGAGAGACAGTTTCTATAAAATAACGAACGATTTCCTTTTATCATTTCGGCAGTCAGCTTGTTAGCCTTTGAACTCTAATTGATCGCACATTCTTCGTTCATGAACGTCAATTAAATTGATCGACAAATATCCCGAGCAATATTACTGACAGAACAATGCTCCTAAATGGATTTGTTCCTCGATAACGAATCTCAAAAGCCTAGATTTCGATACAGCAAAAAATCGATCGACCGAACAAAATGGGTCAACAGGAATGATTACTGGTTTCATTCGCTGATATTATCTCGACATGAATCGACGAAGGTGTCAATTGTTTATTCTCGCGATTGCACGGTACATCAAAGTGTCCTATTGTTTCATGACAATGGACATGGACTACGGGTTTGAAAAAAACCGCTGAGCAATTACTGTTGTTGTATGCTCAATTGTTCGTTCTAATAAGAATTGCATATTGATACTCTATTATGAGCGCGGGCGAGTGAAATTATTGTGTATGGAAATTAATTGCGCCTGGCGTTGAATAATAGCGCGTTATATCCCCACGCGTTGGGGTATAGTGGGTTATATTGTAATGCGGGGAATTACAGCGCAGGGAATTATGGTGCGTGGAACTCTAGCGCGTGAGATTACGACGCGTGAGATAGCGGTGCGTGGAATTACAACGCATGAGATTATGACGCGTAGGATAGCGGCGCGTCAGATAGCGGTGCGTGGATTTCAACGCTTGAGATTACAATGCGTAAGATAGCAACGCGTGAGATAGCAGTGCGTGGAATTACTACGTGTGGAATTCCAGCGCGAGCGAGTGCGGTGCGTGGAATTACAACGCGTGGGATTATAGCGCGTGAAACTCCAGCGCGTGGAATTATAACGCGTGGAGTTCCAGCGCGTGGAGTTCCAGCGCGTGGAATTACTACGCGTGGGGTTCCAGCGCGTGGAGTTCCAGCGCGTGGAATTACTACGCGTGGAGTTCCAGCGCGTAGAATTACAACGCGTGGAGTTCTAGCGCGTGGAGTTCCAGCGCGTGGGATTGCGGTATATGGAGTTCCAGCGCGTGGAATTTCAGCGCGTGGAGTTCCAGCGCGTGGAGTTCCAGCGCGTGATGTTCCAGCGCGTGGGGTTCCAGCGCGTGGAGTTCCAGCGAGTGGAGTTCCAGCGCGTGGAATTACAGCGCGTGGAATTCCAGCGCGTGGAATTACAGCGCGTGGAGTTCCAGCGCGTGGAGTT